GATGGAGCAATCCTGCAACCCGGAGCAGTGCCCCTTCCCCACCCACTGCTGAGAACCCTGAGCCCCCAGGAGCAGCCCCAGAGCACAGCCTAGCTGATGGGGGATGCTGGTGGGATGGGGGTCCTGCAGTCGCCCCTACAGCCGAGCTGGGAGCGCCGTGGCCCCGCTCCCTGCACACCGTCTGCAGCTCAGCACTGACAGGTGCCATGCTGACGAGCTGCAGATTTGTCAGTGCCGGTGATGCACCTATAATTACTGTCTGATGTGCCAGAATTAGACCGGGAGCTGAGCAGTTTGATGCAGACGTGAGTGTCCTTGGCTGCCAGCGGGCAGATGGAGAAACGCAAGGCTGCGGGCAGAGCCCACCCAGGGGCTGGGACTGCTGGGGGGCTGCATCCCACCCCCTGGGCTGGGATCCTGGGGGCACTCCCAGGGCTGGGGCACAAACCCAGACCCCAGTGTGTTGGCTGAGACTCGCCGTAGGGCAGAGCACGATGCTGCCAAGAACCAACAAATGGGAATGATTCAGAATCATTTAGCGGCTTCTGCTTGGGAAGAGAGAGACCAGGACCTCAATTAAGCTATTTGTAAATTGTTAATTTAAACTTTTCACTCAGATGCCTTAAATCGTTCCCTCCTGCAGTTTACAAATGGGTAAAGAGAGCAGAAATAGAAGTGGAGCAGTGGGGAGATGCCATTTAGTTCTCGTTTTCGGCGGTGGTAATAGCACTGTAACTAACAGCACTCCGGCTTAAATCAGAGCCAACGATGGCACTCCGTAGGACAGGGCAGGGGGAGGTGTGCAGGGCTCTGAGGGGCCCACGGGCATTGAGGATATGGGACACAGAGCTGCCAACCCTCTGTGTGCTGCTCTGCCACAGCTCTGTCACTTCGGTCCCTGCGCTGGGCCCCTTCTTTCCCATGGAAGGACAAACGCTCTCCTGTTGCGGCGATAAGATCGCTGTGCTGGCAGTGTGTCACATCCCATGTCACCACCACCACATGGCCACCGACGGCCGCAGGCACTGAGTGCCACCGAGCACGTGGTGTGTGACATGTGTCCGAGTGTCCCTGGGAGCGGGGATGTGCCACAACCCCGGGGCTGCTCTCGGATGGGGACTGAAAAATGAGGAAGGCGGAGGCGGCAGCAAAGGGCGCATCTCTTGTGCCCCCCATCCCCATCTCCATCCTCATCACCATCCTCATCCCCACCAGAGCTTGGGCTCGGCTCATCGCTCCCGTCTTACAGAGCAGGGTTGGCAGCATCTGTGCTCAGCAAACTGAGCAAAGGGAGCCGCGCCGCGGGGTTTGGTGCCAAGCCACCGCGCCGGCTGGGAGCTGCGCTGCAGGAGGCAGCGGGACGGGGCCGAGCTCCTGCTCGCCGCTTCCCCAGGTGGCTCTGACTGCTGAGAACAGCTTGGGCTCTGCCAGCAGAGCTGTGCACAACGGGGCCCGTGGGAGGCTGCACCCGCCTGTGGTGCCAAATCCTCCCTGAGCCCCACCTGGCAGCGCTTGGCACATCCCGGCGCCCATCGGTGCGCCCGTGGCAGCGCAGTGCCAGCCCCGCAGATGTTATCAGCAGTGCAGCCCCACGAATCCACTCCTCTGGGGATGCGGAGCCACCTCGGAACCCCCTGTTCTCCTCAGTGGGGTTGAAGGAGTATTTATTTCTCAAGGATTTATCAGCTATCAGCTGGTTGAGTTTAATAAGAAACGACGCTCCCCAGCCCTTCAGCTGTGAGAACGCGTTTAGCCATGTGATGTCAAGAGGTCTCCGATGGGTTTTTATCTTTATTCTTTTTCTCTTCTCCTTAATCTGGCTTCCTCCCCGTTTCTGAGAGCGGCAGACATGACACATCTGCTGATATGATGCCTCCAAAAAAGAAAAAGGCATTTCTGCCCCTCAGGCACCCGCCTGCCCCATGGGCTGGGTGAATTCTGGACATGTAGTCAGTCCCCACAGCTGGGAACATCTGCCTCTCTGGTTTGGGCAGAGCTCCTGCCCTCACGTGGGCTTTTCTGGCAGTTTTGGGGCATTGCTGCGTGCTGAGCTTCAATTCTGTCTGTGCACCAGGAAGGGAATTCAGACATGGGAAAGGGATTCGCAGTGGGATGCGGAGGTCTCATTGCCCACCACGTCCCTCACCCCGCTGAGCCATTCTGTTGTGCTGAGGAATGAACAGATGAGGGCTGTCCACCTCCACCCACCCATCCATCCGTCTGTCTGTCTGTCTGCCCGTGCAGCCTGTTTGCTCCAGGGAAAAGCCTGAGCCTCTCATTCACCCCAGCAATGGGTCACATCCTCTCCCACGGGCAGAAATGTCGCTCCATAGCCCAGCACAGAGCGCAGGCAGTGCTGAGCAAAGGCCACGCACGGCCATCAAACTGCCTGCAGCTTTTCTCATTGTTTTTTGCAAAGCTTTCAGCGTGGCTCCCTGCTGGTTAACCCTTCTTTGCTGATGGATGGGGGCAAGTCCCACTTCTCCTCTAGCACTGGAGCACTCTCTAAGCCCCCCGTCTCTGGTCACTGCATGACATACAATAAGCCCACTGTGCTGGGTGTGTTAGGGCACCGCATGCACGAATATTGCTGGATAGACTTCGAGCTCAGTGCCGCCGTTGTGCTGCGTGGCAGCAGACACAAAGCTGTGCTGTCTCACTCCCAGCAAGGGGTGAAAGGGGCTGCAGTGCCCGAGGAGCGCTGCGCTGTTCGTGCCACGGCCAGCAGCGCCAGAGCAGAGCAGGGCTTCATTGTGCCAGGGCTGTGCACGGGCATTGTGAGGAGCAGGCATGGGTCTGCAGGGCAGAAAGATGGCAGGGATCAGGAGGGGGAGCACAGGGAGACACTACCCATGCCCCTTTGCACCCAGACCCCATTGCATCCAGACCCCATTGCACCCAGACCCCACTGCACCCAGACCCCACTGCACCCAGATCCCATTGCATCCAGACCCCACTGCACCCTGATCCCATCGCACCCAGACCCCACTGCACCCAGACCCCATCGCACCCAGACCCCACTGCACCCAGACCCCATTGCACCCAGACCCCACTGCACCCAGACCCCATTGCATCCAGACCCCACTGCCCCTGGTCCCTATTGCACCCTGACCCTTCTCCACCCAGCCCCTGCTATGATCAGACCCCACTGCTCCCAGACTCCATTGCACACAGACCCCACTGTGCTCAGACCCCATTGCACCCGGCCTCCATTCCTCCCAACCCCAGTGGCTGCTGCAGTGCTCACATCCAGCCTCTGTTCCCATCCAGGTGCTGGTGGCAGCTCCTGGGAGAGCCTCTGATTGCAAATCTGTGTCTGGCTTCGCATGTGCAAATGCAGGCATCTCGCCCCAAGGTGTGAGCTGCTTTTACCAGCCTCCCCCTGGGAGCTGCCTTGCTGCATGCAGCTGCTCACAGCCCCACTGAGGCTGAGGTGTCACGCAGCCATAGGCTCTCTGTGCACACAACAGCTCATGCCACCACACTGCCTGCTCAGGGTTGTGCTGCAGAGAAATCGTGGCGTCGGGAAGTCCCCAAGTGGGGAACTTTGGGTTTCAGATGGGGCGCCCACCCTCTCTGCAGGCAGCCCCTTCCCAGCAGCTCTCCAGCTGCACTAATGCTTATTTGCTTCTCATTAGCAGAGCAATCAGAATTCAAAGGTCACCCCTTCCTCTGGCCCTCCCTGCAGCACGGCTGTGGGTGCAAGCCAGGATTCAGGGATGAGGGGGAAGAACAATTAATCCTCACTGCAAGCAGTGACCGCGTTTGCCTTTCCAGCACAGCATCCTCCCATCTCTGCACCTTCCTGGTGTCCCCAGCTTTGTGTCTCTGCACTGTATCCAGGACACTTCCCCATAGGGAGGGGGCAGCAGGACCCCCTGGGATGGAGGCAATGTGGGGTATCTCATCCCAGAGGCTGGAATTTTCGTTCTGCCAAGGCTCTGGGTGGTGCTGCACCCTCTGTTCACGCCTCAGTTTCCCCATCTGCAAAATGGGATAAAACCCCACTTTGTGTCTTTGGTGAAGGGTTTCCTGGATGCTGTAGCCCCAAGCAGCTGGTTTTGCCTCTTGGGTTGTGTGGGACGAGCTTTGAGGACGTGAGCAATTATAAGTTCATGAGAGTTTTTGGGATGCTGAAATGCACCAGGAGTGATGGGGAGAAACACCAGGAACGGGGGAAGGAGGAAAAAGGGTGAGTTTGGAAAGCAACTTCTGTGCCCTGGAAAAGCCATGAGATGGGAAGAAAGGAGGGAGCAGCTGAGGGGATGCTGCCCAGCTCTGGTCCCATGTGCAGATGCTGCTGGCTGCCACTTCTCCCCCAGGTCCCCACTGTGGAGGTCGGGAGCGATCCCACATATCATGGCTGCCCAGGGGCTGTGCAGAACACAGCTGCGTGGCAGTGGGCAGCAGCCTGAGGTTGGTTTCCATGGGCTGATCCTCACGGTGCCCACGGGTGGGTGTCAGATCCGTGCCAGGCGGGCTGCTGGCAGCAGTGCTGGGGGCAAAGTGTTTGCTGCTGGACGCTTCGTGTTCTGGCAGGTGGAAAACGGCGGCTTTGGGGAACGGGTGGTGCTGGAGCTGCCTGGGGGCTGCAGGGCTCTGCCTTTAATCACCGGTAATCAGTGTTCGTGTGCTGCTCGGTGGCTGCTGGGGGCTCTGCTGGTGTCCCCCCGTGCAGACCCTGTGAGCAGGGAGGGGCACCTCATGGGCTGACGGCGTCGGCGCCGTGCACGGATGTGCAGTGGCTGCTGGCTGCAGCCCATGTGATGCATCTGAGGGGGCACGCTGACATTTCGAGAGGAAAAAAAAAAAAATAAAAAATAATACCCAGAGACCCACGGGGAGCTTTGAAGTGCCTGAACCAGAAAAGAGAGCAAGAGAGACAGACAGACAGACAAATATCAGTACGAGAAGAGGAACGGAGCCGGGCAGGGGGGCAAATTCCCAGGGCAGGAGAGAGGATGTGAGCGCAGCGCTGGCACGGAGCCGGGGAGGATGCGATGGCCGCTGGCACCGAAAGTGGAGCAGCGATTTTTAGCCACCGAAATGGAGCGGGAACGGCAGCGGGGAGCGGCGGGGACGGCAGCGTGGTGGCAGCTGAGCGCTGTGCGGGATCGGTGACACCGCGGCGGTTCCTCTCCATCGCGCCGATGTGACGCGGCGGTGCCGAGCGGTGGCTGCGCGGTGCTCGTCGAGGTCAGTGCCGTGGATGGGGTTTGGTGACAGCGCAACCCGCTGCTCGCCTTCTCTGCGTGCGCGTTTCGTAATGAGCCGCTCCTGTATTTAATTAACGCGAGCAGCTAACGCGAGCCTCCCTTGATTTAACCTGACAGAGACGACGTGTTGCTTGAAATGCCGAGCGATTAGTAAAACCGGGTTTGATTCGCTTTAAACATATGCCGTACGATGCATGTGTTTGTCGCACAGATTTTGGAGCCGTCTCCCGGTTCCTCCCTGCCCGGGTGTCACCATGCTTCCTCGCTGGGCGAAGCATCCCTCGGGCGCTTCCCCTCGGCTGCGGGAGCAGGACAGAACCTCGGAGCCCGGGGACCGCAGGCTGACATCGCTGCTCGTGGGTACGGATTGGGGACGTGGAGGAGGGGACGTGTGCCCGGAGGCGATGCTAGGATGGGCCGGGCGGAATGCTGGGTGCTGCAGGCAGCTGCTGTGCCCTCCTTTTGCTTGACTACACCGCGCTGTTTGGACAGCTGCGGGCGGGAGCTGGTGAAAGGGGCTCGGAGGGATGCAGCGCTGCTCCGGGTTGGGGATGGAGGAGGGATGGGTGGCATCTGCTGCGGGATGTGGGGATGCTCCTGGGGGGGACATTGCGGTGCCTTCATCCCGTGGCTGGACGTTGTGTGCTGGGGGGTGGTGGTGGATCTGGGGAGCCCCATGGGGACCTTTGGCAGCAGGACACGGCCTGGCTGTGTCCCTCCGTGTGCCCAGGGCTCTGTTCTGGTAGAGCTGCCCCTGTTATTCATGGCATCTACAAGGCTTTAGGCGTAGATCTGTGTGTTTTTCCCAGCCTTTCTGACTTGTAGCTCGCTGTGACTAACCGGGCTGGCAGAGCAGGCTGTGACCAACCACCTACGTGCTACCTGCATGCTTATAAATAGGGGCTGTCCTCCCCTCCCCGTCTGGAGCATTGCTCCCAAGCCCCTCCATAACACAGAAATAGCTTCCCCAGCATCCTCCCCCCATGCAGCATCACCCCAGCTCTGTGCAAAGCAGCACAGGATCCCCAAATGCCCATTTTCCACGTGGTGCTCTGGGCACGGCTGGACTCCAGGCTGTGCTGCTGCCAGCACTGATCACAGCAGGAGCCAACTCCTCGAAGGAGCTGTGTGCCCTTGTGCCAGCACAGGAGCCGTGCCAGACTCTTGTCCCCCCCCACCCCCTCAGAGCTCTGCCCCAAGGTTCTGCTCTCAGCCTCTCAGGCAAGGACTGGGGGAGCTTTGGGTTTGATTTGAGCTTTTCCCCTTTGTGGCACCATCCAGAGCTCTGCTTCCCTGCAGGAGAGCAGGAGGGGCACCTCCCCTCTCCACCCCCCCACCTTGCTCCCGCTGTGCTCTTCCAGATGGATTTGCTTTTGATGAGGTGTAGCGTGCCATCGAAGCTCCTGTCAGGCAGCTCCGGCCTCCCATCAGTGAGCGAGCAGTTAGCATGACTGCACTAATGGCAGCAGATTAGAGGAAGTGATTAACTTGCTTGAAAAACTGCACTGAGCGCATCCTGCACAACCCCAGGGCTGGTGCAGTGCGTGGCCACGCTCCCCCTCACAGGGGCTTTGTCCCATCATTTTTTGCTTCCCTCTACAGCAACCTGTTGCATTTCTTTTCCACCTTTGGCTGCAAGCTCTCTGGTCAAATCCTGCCCCTCTACTTCCAAGCTGGAATGACAATGCTGCCCTTCCCATCTGCAGGACAAGGGTGCATCCCCATGGAGCAGAGCACCCTGCTCTTGGCTATCACCCAGCACAGGGGGGTCCTGCAGCCATCCTGCTTCACTGGGATGGGCAACACCAGGCATTGCCATGTCCTGGAGCTGCCACCTCTCTGCTACCCGTGTGCTGTTGTGCTGTTGATCCTCGTTTCTGCTGTCACCAAAGCAATCAAGGTGGCCTTGCTCTGCTCGGCGACTTCACTCTGTGTCTCATTAGGGGAAGGAGTGGTTCTGTTGGGAATTGATTTTTGATTTCATTGTGTTTCCCTCCAGCCTCCCTCCCCCCCCCTGGCTTGTGCCCCTGCCTGCCTCCAAAGCCAGCAAGGAACCACTCCAAACCCTGACCATAGGGCTCAGCTGAGGTCTTGCATCTCCCACTGATTCCTTATGGGGAGCACTGCTTCTCTGCAGGTTTGCTCTGAGCAGCCTATGCTGTTTGGGATTCCCTCCTTCCTCCTTTTCCCTTTCTTCTTCTGTACCTAAAAGACAAAGTAACTGCTGGGAAAGAGGGGTGCTGTGCAGGAGGGCAGGGATGTGCTGGTGCCAGGTGGGCACAGATGGGGTGGGAGCTGCGTGCCTTACCTCTGCCCTCATTTAGGGGTCGTTTCCCTCCAACCAGGTGGGCTGTTTCCTTCCCTCCTATTTGCAGCAGGACCCCCCCCCCCCCCCCCCACTCCCCACCCCCTGCTCTGCTCCGGGCTAAGAGGAAGCATCGATTTGGTGTCTTGAGGGGCAGTTTATCGCTTTCCTGATGCCTGATAGATTGGAATTGATTTCCAGAGCAATTTGCCTGAGCAGCTGAAGTCGGAGTGGTGGGACCCACGCTGCAGCACTCCTGCAGTGGTAGAGATGCAAAAGGGTGATGGAGACGGCAGCTTTGCAAGGTTTTTTCGTGCTCAGGTCCTTCATAACCTCGGGTTCGTCCCCGTGTTGTCTCTCCCCAGGCTGTGCATGGGATCTCTGTGTGGGGAAGGGGTTTGGCAGCGCTTTGCTGCACGACGCAGTGAGTCACTGCCCCACGCCTGGCTCAGCATAGTGGTGGGAGTGAGACAGAGCTGCCGGGTGCTGGGAAGCTCGGGGTCCTTTCAGGAGATGTGCATCCAAACCAAGTGGCTCTGCCTGTGCTTTCCCTTTTCTCCCACCTGGGGTCTGACCCCTCCACATCTCTGTATCCCTCGGACCCACGTGCTCTGCATTTGCCCCCTCTGGATCGGGCCATTCCCTCTTCAGTCCTCAGTTTCTCCCTCAGATCTGAGCCTGAAGGCATCCCCCAGGCTGCGATCTGGCTGCAGCCACATGGGCTCATCCCATCCTCACTGCACTGCCTGGATCTGCTGCCACACGGGTGGGAGAGGAGACCACCACACACTGAGTGTTTGTGCCGTGACAGCCCCCTCCACCCCTGCTGTATTTTAATCCAGTTCCTGAGCTGCTGGCATCTCCTCCAGCCACAGTGCTGTGCCTCCCCACTTCCCCAGGCAGCGCTGCTCAGGGGATGCCGCCAGCTCCGGCCCGCTGCCAAGGGTCAGGGAGGAAGCTGGCAGCAGAGGGAAGCTTTGCCCAGCTCTGCTGGCCGTGACTCATCCTCGTGCATCGCGCATCCTCTGTGAGCTCACCCTCCGTGCTCATTTTCCCTCTCCACCAAAGCAAAGGCAGCTCCGTGAGGAGCGCTGGGACGAGGATGGGAGCAGCTCGAGGGGGAGATGCTGAGCCAACGAGACAGCACGGGAAGGAGGAGAGCTGGGAGGGTGGCTGTGGACAGGGCTGGGGGCTGCAGGGGGCTGTGTGCCCATAGCCCAACTCATGGCCCTGATGATGGATGCTTTGGTGCTGCTGGTACCCAGCACGAAGCTCATGGCTGGGGGAGCAGGGTGCGCTCGCTTCCCATCTCTGTGCGTGTGTGTGGGTGTGATGACACCCGGCAGGGTGGGAAGGAGCTGCTTTTCATGGGGCCGGGCCAGATGGGCTCTCTCCTTCAGCTCAGGGTTTGAGACATGGGAATTGAGCCGCTCGTGTCCCCGCTTCCAGAGCAAAGTGCCGCGTGCCAGCACAGGGCTGGGTGCCAGCCTGAGATGGGGCATGGCTGCCACCAGCGTACCCCTACGTGCCCGGATGGATCCTGTGCTGCTTCCTGGCTTCTTGGCAGCTGTGGTGGCCAGGGCACATCATGGTTGGGGACAGGCAGGGCTGGGTCTGCAGGGATACATCCGGCACTGTGGGCACCGAGCGCTGCCAGCCTGTGGGGTGTCCTGGCATGGTCCCAGTGGAGTGGGGCTGGGAACTTCCCAATGAAGCAAGCAGTGATGGGTGTTGTGTCTCCCTTGGATCTTCTTTAATGGAGAGAGATAGGCCCTGTGTTGTCAGAGGGACCCCTGGGGATTTGGGGGTGGCATTAGCACCGCTGGCACAGCTGTGCCATGGGCAGGGGTTGTATTGGGGTGGGCACTCTCTGCCCCATGCTGGGTCTCCATCAACCCAGGAGCAAGCAGATCACATGGAAGCTTTCAGCACAGCCGTCCGTGAGCTTTCACTCCTCATATTGCTCTGCACGAGGCTGCTGGGAGGCACGGGGAGGGTATGCAGTGTTCGTGCTGTGATGTTCATGTGCTGGGACAGCCCCACCGAGCGGTGCCATGTGGGCATAGAGAAACCTCGTCTCACGCTTTGGCACTGGGTGAGCTGCTGCCAAGCCCCCCCCCCTGCACCCCCCAGCCATTCAGAGATATTCCCAGCAGGCACAGCTTTATTAGCTGGGGCTGAGGCTCAGTGGGTGCACAGTACCAAACTGGGACCAAGGGTTGCTGTGGGGGGCGTCCCAACGAGCATCACCTCCCACTGCCCTTCCCCCACGGCTGCATCCCAGAGGCTTGCAGCAGCGTGGCAGAGAAGGGGTTACTGCAGCACAGGGCTCTCCAGGCCGTGTCCTCACGTGCTGCACACAGCAGCAGTTTGCAGCTCAGCGGCTGCGGCGTTTCGGGGAAGGCGAGCGCATCTCCCAGCTGCCCTAATGGCCGGCTGTGGGGAGCTGCATAGCTCCAAGGGCTTCTATTCTTCTGCCTCTTTTTCTCCCCAAACGTAATCTCTCCTTCCCCTCCCCTCTCCCCGTTTGGTACAATTGCTTTCTCGGACTATTTTTCATGCTCTGCTAACTGTCACGGCTTTCACGGCCCGCGTGAGCTCGGCTGCTTCATGAAGATTTATGAAACTGCAGTAATAAACTGTGTTTGAAAGATCCTCTTTCTGATAAACCCCCTGCCACGCTGCGGGCGGGGGGGGGGGGAGATCGGGGCGGACCACCCTGCTGGATGCCCACCCCGGTGTGACTCTCACGGGGCACAGGGCAGGATTTGGGGCTCCTCTCCCACCCACAGCACCCGGTAAGGAGGATGGATGGATGATCCCTGCTGCCCGGAGGGGGGATTTCCAGGATTTCCCATTGGATTCTGGCTGCTTTGGGAGCACAAATGGAAGATGCTCATCCCATCTCACTGTTGGGATCAGAGGGGGGAAGTGGGGAAGGGTGCACAGGGTCTGCAGCGTCTCTTCTTTCGGGATGCCTGCTCGTGTTCTTGCTGGAGCCCAATGAGGAGTTCAGGAGCGGATGCAGCACAGCCAGAGGTGGAAGAGCCCCCGTCGGTTCCCGGCTCTGCTCTGACCCGGTGCTGATTGTGCAGGGCTTTTCAAATCATCCTCTTTAGCAGTTGCAGAGAGACAGCGAGCTGGCGCGTTCCGCTCCCGGAGCGTGTAATCAGGGAGCAGGGAGCTGCATGATGATGTGAGGCTCAGCACCGGGAGGGGGGTGGGAAAGAGTCAGGAGGGTGGCTGGGATGGGTGCTGGGCTTTGGGTTCTGGGTGCTGTTCTGGGTGCTGGGTGCTCGATTCTGGGTGCTGGGTTCCAGGTGCTGAGTTCTGGATTCTGGGTGCTGAGTTCTGGGTGATGGATTCTGGGTGTTGGGTTTTGGATATGGGGTTCTGGGTTCTGGATGCGGGGTGCTGTTCTGGAAGCTGAGTTCTGGGTGCTGGGTTCTGGATGCTTGATTCTGGGTGCTGGGTTCTGGGTGCTGAGTTCTGGATTCTGGGTGCTCGGTTCTGAGTGTTGGGTTCTGGGTGCCGAGTTCTGGGTGCTGGGTTCTGAGTGCTGGGTTCTGGGTGATGGATTCTGGGTGTTGTGTTTTGGATACGGGGTTCTGGGTTCTGGATGCGGGGTGCTGTTCTGGAAGCTGAGTTCTGGGTGCTGGGTTCTGGATGCTCGATTCTGGGTGCTGGGTTCTGGGTGCTGAGTTCTGGATTCTGGGTGCTGGGTTCTGGGTGCTGGATTTGGGGTGCTGAGTTCTGGGTGCTGGGTTCTGGATCCTGGGTGCTGAGTGTTGGGTTCTGGGTGATGGATTCTGGGTGTTGGGTTTTGGATACGGGGTTCTGGGTTCTGGATGCTGGGTGCTGTTCTGGAAGCTGAGTTCTGGGTGCTGGGTTCTGGATGCTCGATTCTGGATGCTGAGTTCTGGATTCTGGGTGTTGGGTTCTGAGTGTTGGGTTCTAGGTGCTGGGCTTTGGGTGCTGAGTTCTGGGTGTTGGGTTCTGGATTCTGGATGCTGGGTGTTGGGTTCTGGGTGCTGGATTCTCGATTCTGGGTGCTGGGTTCTGGATACAGGGTTCTGGATTCTGGGTGCTGAGTTCTGGATGCTCAATTCTGGGCACTGGGTTCTGGATACAGGGTTCTGGATTCTGGGTTCTGGGTGCTTAGTTCTGGATGCTGGCTTCTGGGTGTTGGGTTCTGGATTCTGGATGCTGGGTGTTTGGTTCTGGGTACTGGGTTCTGGATGCTGAGTTCTAGGTTCTGAGTTCTGGAAGCTGAGTTCTGGGTGTTGTGTTCTGGATTCTGGATGCTGAGTTCTGGCTGCAGCCCCTGCACATCTCCACTGCTCTGCCCAGGGTGTTCCCAGGGCTTTGGTGTCCCAGGGCTTTGGTGTCCCCAGGGCTTTTGCTGGGGGCTGCACTGATGTCATCACCTGCTGTTTATTTTGCTCCACAGCTTCTGCTCTGAACAGTTTTCCTTGTCACCCAACTCTCAGCAAACCCCTCTGTATGACCTTGAGCAGCCGAGTGGCGTCGGCAGCGCAGACAGAAATCCTGTCCTACATTAATAACACAATCACTCGTTATAAAGCTGATATGTTGGGCTGATAAATAATTAAGGGAAAAGGAAAAGCTCTCTATGATTTGCTTAGCGGGAAGGAAGGGGGAAAAGGAAGGAGATGAATAATGAATCAAGGTTAAACGGGAGTGAAAGGAAAGCCTGACGGTGGTGAATTCCCGCAGCAGGAGTGCTGCAGGTTGCCAAACATTTGGAGCTGGTGGTTGTGGGGTGACGTGGGCTGGGCAGCACGAGGTCCCTGAGCTCACCAGCAGCATTGGGACGGATAGGGCTGAGTGTCACGAGGTTGGGCACTCCACACTCGCTGTGTTGGTGATGGGTGTTGGCAGCACGCAGGGACTTCCAGGCATGAGTTACACTCGTGGTGTGTGAGCAGTCAGCACGGCTTCCCTGGGAATTAAAGTCATGGTGTGATGCTGATGAATGGCTGTGGTGGTGAAGGGATGAGCGTTGCCAGCACCCGCTGTCAGGGGTTGAGCTCTGAGAGGGCTGGAATGGCTCTGGGGGGGTCCCCGACCACAGGCAGCAGCACTGATGGGACGATGCAAGCCTCCCCAGCCCACCTTTCATTTTCTTTTTTGGTCTGTCCTTGTGTCTGTGTCCCTCTGTCTGTCTGTGCCGCGGGGCGGTGCCCGGCTCCTGTGTCTCGTCTGTGCCTTTTTGGTGCCTTAGCGCTGTTCATTCCATGTTTCAGCCCAAATGTTGGGATATTGGTAGCACCCTGGCCCCTCTATCCCTCCCGTAGCCCCCAGCCCTGCCTGACTCCCCCTCCCACCACCACCACCACCATCACAGGGAGACAAACCCTGCACCCCTCCCACCCCCACCGCTTGCATCCCACCAAGGGATGACCCCACACCCGGCTGGGCTAAACCACATTTAACCCCACCCCGTGCCCCGTCCCCACACCGCAGCACCCCAAACCCACCAGGGGGTCTCCCCTCACCCCGTTCTGCTCTCCCTCCCCGTGCAGATCCCGACAGGACCAGCGCCCACATGATCTCGGCCGACGATGCCGAGTACCCGCGGGAGTACCGCACTTTGGGCAATGGCACACGGCGCTTCTCCAACGTAGGGTTGGTGCACACCTCGGAGCGTCGGCACACCGTCATCGCCGCCCAGAGCCTCGAGGCTCTCACCGGCCTCCAGAAATCGGAGATGGAACGTAAACGGGACGCCTTCATGGATCACCTGAAGAATAAATACCCGCAGCACGCGCTGGCGCTGCGCGGGCAGCAGGAGCGCATGCGGGACCAGGTAAGGGGGGTATGATTGGGGGGTGGAGGGGGAAACAGGACCCACCTCATTTGGAGAAGTGGAGGGAGGCTCATAGAGGGCATGGCATGGGGAGGAGCAGCCCTTCTCGCATGGGCTGGGGGTCTCCAGGTAGATGTTTTCCTTGGCTGAGATGAAAGCAGTGTCTCCGTGCATGCAGGTGGAGGGGTGGGTGTGCCAGCCATGAGGTGTGTGGCTTCACCCTGCTAAAGATGGGGGGGGCAGGGGGAGAGTTTGACCCCCTATCCTGCTCTCTGCAGCTTCCTGCTGCAATGGGGGAGGTTGGTGCTCAGCCACAGGCAGACCTGACCTGAGTGGGATGGGGATGCTCAGAGCCCGGGTGATGTGGGGCACCTCCTGGGGTGGGGGTCTCCCCCTGCTGCCTGGGTGAGGGTTGGGAAAGGCAGGGCTGTGAGGCAGCGAGGTGCTGAGGCTCTGTCCCAGTGCACACCGCAGTGCTGTGCAGGGCAGGGGCTGCACGTGGGTCAGGTGCTCTCAGAGCTCAGGGTTCCCTGTGTTTGGTGCTCCTGCAGTTCAGTGCTATCAGGTTTGGTGCCCACATCCCTGCAGGGATGTCCCTTGGCTGTGTATTCCCACGGACTCCATTCTCCCCCAGGGCCCAAAGGTGGGGGGATCTGCAGAAGGGACACCTGATTTCATGCCCCCGCGGTGTGGCAATGGGGAAGAGTGACCCCCCAGCCTGGAGTCTGCTGGAGCAGCCATACATTCCTACCAAAACTATTACTTATATGGAAAAAAGGCACAGGGGAGGGCGAGCACGAAGCAGCTGCAGGAAGAAATCCTATATCATCTCCAACTAGACACCTCCCTGTGGGGTGAAGGCAACAGCTCCCAGACTATCTCAGCAGAAAGAAATAGAGAAAGAAATCGAGCTGTATAAGAAAAAGCAGCAGCTCCCACACTGCAGCCCCTATCCTGCCTTTGTGGGGCTGGGAGGGCAGCACCGGGGGGTCCCACAATGCAGCCCCTCCCCGTGCAAAAGGTCATTGGCTCAGGGCTGGATGCAAAGGGGAGCAGTGCAGCCCTGCAGTGCTTGCAGCATCCAGCTGTTGGCAGAGGTTGCAGTGAGGTGAGGGCTGTGAGAGTTTCCTTGCAGCAAAGTGCACCCTGCTCCTCTCTCTCCCTGCAGAAGGAAGGGAGAGATCATGGTGCAAGGTGTGCACCCTTCTGCTCTGCAGCAGTGTTTGTCATTTACCTCTCAGTAAATAACCAGGAATCTTCCCCTGGTTATTACAGTGGTTTAAAGACTTTTTTTTTCTTTAGGCAGCAGCTGGGAAAAGCAAATCTGCCCGGTGTTGGCTCAGGGTTGGGAGGATTTTAGAGGATTTTAGAAAGCGAATGGAAAACTTTGGGGTTTGGAGCATCCTCTGTGCTTGGGAATGGCTGCGGGGCTGAGGGCCGTGCATTTCCAGCAAGATGGGAGGACGAGAATAAAAACAGTGGGAACCTGGGTGTAAACCTTTAGATGACATTGTGTTACAGCACTGAAATGAGCAGAGTGGTGCCCTGTAATCGACCCATCACCCTATAGAGCACTGCAGACGGGTCCAAGGTGGCGGCCGCTGTAAAACCCACATAGGAAAACGTGTTTGATGGGTACAATAACAGCAGGGGGTGGGAGATGTGCAGATCTGCAGCTGTGCTGCTTCACTTTGGAACCGATAACCCCCAACCGGTGCAGATGCGTGCATCCCCAGCTCTCCCCCGTGCACCATCCCCCCACTTCTCCCCTCCCCCCAAAACGGGGGTCCCGGTTCGCACACAGCCCTGCAGCTGCGGGGTCTTTTGGAGAGCAAAAAGCGTAGCAGAGGGAAACGAACGGAGCAGCGCTGCGATGGGTGCCGGGGGGGTGGGGGGGGGTTTACAAGCATGGGTGCGCGTGCATGAGCGCGCGTGCATGCATGCCTGCGTGCGCGCGCAGCCCCACGCGCGCGTGCGTTTGCACGCGCGTGCGTGCGCACAGGTGCGGGAACACACACACGTGTGTGTGTTTGTGTGCGCGCCTCCACGTGCACGCGCGCTCCTCCTCCGCCGGGATCGCGACAGGTGGAGTCGCGGTTGTCATGGAAACCGCACCCCGCGGGAGGGGCGGGCGGCGGGGCCGGAGCGGAGGCCGCAGCAGCGGCGGAGGAGGAGGAGGAGGAGGCGGTGGCGGCGGTCGCTGCTCCGCGCAGCGCTGCGCTCCCGGGCCCCGCCCGCCCCCGGGCCGCGCTGCGACGCGGAGAGGAACGGAGGCGGTCGGGGCTGAGCGGAGCGGGCGCACCTGGCGCAGGTACCGAAGGGGTGATGTCTGTCTGTCCGTCCGTTCTCCCATTCCTTCCCCCCAGCGTCTCCCGGTATCCCTTCCCTATATCCTCTCCTTCCCCCATCCCGCTCCGTTCCGCTCACCTCTGCCTTTCCCTGTGCCGCCCCCCCCTTCTCCCCCCCCATGTGTCGTCCACCTCCATCCTTCTCCCCTCACATCCTTTTCTCCCTTCCATCTTTCCACCCCTCCGCCCCCCATCCCGCTCTGCTTCACCCGTCTTCTCTCTTTCCCCGGTGCCCCCCCCCGTTCCTCCGGACCCTTTCGTGTCGTCCTCACCCCCCCTCCCCCTCCCCCCGCGCTGTACCCTGTCCCGGTGCGCGGAGCCCCGCAGCTCCGCACCGATCGCACCCGGCTCCGCTCGGCCTCCGGAGGGCGAACGCTGCGGGCGCTGCAGTGGCGGAGGAGCGGCCGAGGAGCAGCGCACGGTGCGGCCCCGCGGGCTCTGCGCGTTCCTCTCCGGTTCGTTCAAAGAGGGGGCTGTGTGTGTGTGGGGGGGGGATGCTCAGCCCCGCTCCTTTTGGGATTTTGCGGGGAAGAAGCGGTTGCGGAGCGGCTCTGAATGCGGCAGTGCGGGCAGCAGCGGCCGCAGCCCCCCCCTGGGTTGGGGACAACGAAGGGGCACCGCTCGTCATCCCAACCCCACGCACACCCGGAGCGCTCCCGGCCCGATGCCGCCGGACCTCCCGGTGCCCATCACGCGACCCCGCACCTCAGGTGCTGCTGGGGGGCGCGCAGAGCCCGCAGCCCCTGGGACCCCCCCCCCCGGGGAGGTGGGGATGGGAAGGAGGAGGGCCGGCTCCATGTGCTGCCCGGATCGCATCCCCTGTGCAGGATCGCAGCCGGCTCTGCCCCCACGGGGCCGCCGGTGGATGCCCGCAGATCTCCTTCCTCCCTTACCTCGCACGTCCCTTTTGTGCCCGTCCACCTACGCGTGCCGTTGCCATCGTTACCCCGCAATTCGAGCTGCCCAACTTCTCACAGGCTTTCTGCCCCCCCCACCCCGCTCTCCCCACACCAAACCCTGACCCCCAGCCCTGCTCCCCGGCTGGGTGGGCACCCCTTCTGCCTCTCCCTGCCCTTATGGGACCTGGATTCCCGCAGCGTGACACCCTACCCCCCTCATCCCCCACCTTTCTGCATGGGGCTGTTGCAGCTCCCCTTGGATCCCCCAGTCCCGCAGGGGTGCCTGAGTTTGGAGGCTGCGTTGCAAGCAAGGAGGGTTGCACGGTTTATCCTCAGCAGAGCTTCCTCCCTCACCCCCCCGATGCGTCGCTGCGTGCCGGTGCGTTTTTGCAAACAGCCGTCGTCGCTGCTTTGCTCTGTATTGATGTGGTGAAAAGGGAGGGCTTGGGGAAGAGCCAGGAGCACAAACACGTTGGTGCCTGAATGCGTTCCTGCTCTGACATCACCTGAGCTGCTCCAGAGGGAGCTGAGGGCTGAAACTGCTGCTTACGGTGGGTTCCGTGCTGTGGGTGCAGGCAGGAGCTGCACGCAGAGCCCTGAGCCCTTCCTCGCTCACCTCGTGCTGCCATGCCCGGCTTGCAATAATTACAGGACCTCAGATAACAGCATCTGCAGTGCACAGCCTCGGTGTCTCTCTTGGCTGCTTCTGGTTCTGCTGTTTGCATTCGGCTCTACGCGGTCGTTTTGTTGCTTCGGCTTCAGTTCCTCTCGTGCTGAAAAGCATTAAAAACTTTAACACGGAGAAACGGCTTCAATCCACTTTGCTGGTGTGTTTCGGGGAGGTTTTTGTTTGTCAAGACGTTGTGCCTGAGGGGGAGACGCTATCAGAAACTGCAACAACTGGAAATGAGTTAATTAAAAAGCCAATGAGAGCCCTGCTGTCCCTCCCCCCCCTCGGCACGGCGTGCTGGGATGCTGCTGCTGCCCATTTCGGAGGGACACATTGGTGCTGCCTTGTTAATCGCTAACAGATTTGTGCCATAATTGCTAACCAGAAGGAGGCTGCCTTGGTCAGAGCGGTGACTTGCTTGGATTTCATTCACCTGGGACAGCTTTTCTCCTGGGACAGCCACAAGGACTGTGGGTTTATTTAACATTGTGATGTTCTTTGCTCTGGCTTTCCTCTCATCAGCAGTGTTTGCTGGTGCAGCTCTGTGAGCATCGCTGTGTGCACGAGTTCCCTCGTGGCCGTGGGTTCCAGCAGATCTGAGGTTTGCGTGGGTTCTCTGCCCCTGAAATGCATGGCTGTGTTGGGGAGGGCCCGAATCCTCCTTAGTCCCTCGTTTTGCAGCTCCGTGTACATGACTTTCATTGTAATTATAATCTCAGCCTTTGTAATTCTCCCTACTGTCGGCACAGCTCGGGCTGCCTGTTTTATCGCGTGGAACAAGGCTGTCGTTTCCAATCCTCTCTCAGACCATTATCTCCCTTTGATGCTTTTGAAGAGTCAGGGACGTGTTAATTCTACCTTGGCCTCCTCCTCTCCCCTTCCCTTCGTGCAAACCCCCAGCAGGACATCATGCAGGGCGCTGGGACCATCCCAGCCCTGTCCCCATAACGCAGGGTTTGCCACAGAGGTGGCATTTTGCTTTGGGAGAGGCCAGGTTGGTAGAAAATGAGCTCAACCGGGCGCAGTGCCTGCGAGGACAGATGGAGCCTGAGGTGCCTGTGCGGATCTCTGCCCTCAGAGCAT